GGGTGGGGGGGGAGGGCTGCTTGCCAGGGGCTAAAACGCACCAATTGCAAACTGGCAGGGGCTGCTTGCAACCTCCTCTGCCAGGCCCCTGCCCCCCTTGGGCCCCCAGCCACTTGCAGGCACTCAGAGCCCCCCACTCCATTCCCCGTTGCTGTGAGGGGGAGGGTAATGCTGGCAGGGTTGGTGAACCCGGTGCTCTGTTTAACTGCCTCCCCCCCCAGGTACGGGAAGCGATCCAGCCCAGAGGCCTTGATGTCCGAGCTGCTCTTGGGGGACAGCAGTGACAATGGCAGATCACGGTGCGTGCCCCCTCCCCTGGGGTTCCCTCCACTCCAGGGGGGCGCCCCCCACACCGACGTGGCAGGTCCATGCTGGGGTCCAAGGCACCCTGGGACAAACTCCTGGGAACCGGCCCCTGCCCCTTTCCCAGACCCAGAGACCCCCCACGAGGGGACTTGGAATCTGGATCCAAACTCTGAGCATGGCTCCCACATGAGCAGTGCCGAGCTGGGGGAGAAGTGGGCTGGGGTGCAGCGGGGGGGGGATCGTCAATTCCATGACCCCCCCACCAGCCTAGCCCTGCCCTCCCCATAGGGCTGGGGAAGGGAAAAGTGTAGCCCAGCAGGGGGCTGCTCCCTGATCATGGGGTTCAGTGGGGTGGAGGGACCAGGCTGGGGCAGGGCTTGAGGAGGGGGCTAATGGGGCTGGGGGCTGTGCCCGCTGTTACCCCGATGTCTCTCCGGCAGGTACGAGGACTCCTACACCTGGTGACGCGCTCCCCCTGCCCCACCCCCACGCCCTCGTTCACTGGTCCCGTCTTTTGGTGTCATTTGCGGTTTTCATTGTGCCCTGAGGAGCTGGGAATCTTTCTGCCAAGAGGCTCTTCCCTCCCCCCATTCCCAGCCCCTCCCCCTCCAGAGACAGCATGGGGCTGAGGGTTCCCCGTGGCGGGGTCACAGCCACAGGTGTGCCCCTTTGCGGGCTGCCGTTCTCATGATGTGTGTGAAGTGGCCAAACCCCAGCCCCTCGCTGCCCCCGAGCCGGGCGGCTTTATTTTGTACGTCGTTTCTACGCATCTGTTCCCAGCGGAGTCTCTGGTCTCTGCCTCCACAATAAAGAGCAAGTTGAATGGAAAGCACCGGGCTCCCTTAGCGTCTCTGTCCCCAGGCCCAGCGTAGGGCGCAGGGCTGGGGGCTGGGAAGGAGAGAAAGGTCTGGTTGGGGGGAGCAGGGGATCGAGGACGTCAGGTCCCAGCAGGCCCACGGAGCCCGGAGAGCTGGGTGTGTATGCGGAGGGAGGGTGGCTGGAAGAAAAGGGCTGTGCATGGATATGGGCGCATCGATGGGGATAGATAGAGCAGAGAGTGCCAGACAGAGCCAGAGGAGTATGAGGATAGATGGATATGGGGCTGGGTAGCTGAATGGGTGCGTAAGGGGGTGGATGGATGCAGGGCTGGGTATGTAGAGGGATGGATGGATATGGGGCTGGGTAGCTGTATGGATGGGTAGGGGGTGGATGGATATGGGCTGGGTAGCTGAATGGATGGGTAGGGGGTGGATGGATATGGGGCTGGGTAGCTGAATGGATGGGTAGGGGGGTGGATGGATGCAGGGCTGGGTATGTAGGGGGGTGGATGGATGAAGGGCTGGGTAACTGGATCGGCGTGTAGGGCGATGGATGGTGTGGTAGGGTCAGTCCTGGGCCCCAGACCCCTGTTCTGCCCACTATCCCGCAGTTCAGGGGCCGTGGTACAAGTCCCACTTGCCTTTTCTAGTTGTTTGACCTTCTGTTCCTCAGCAAAACAGAGGGGTGCTAGGGCCGATTCCCCTGGCCAGTCGGGGCTGAGGAAACTCCTCCTCAGTCACTGCTGAAGTTTCTGGCCACCTCGGGGGAAGGGAGCCTCCAGACACTCCCTGTCAGAGCCCCTCACTCCCCCCCGCCCCCGCAGCCTTTGGCAGCCCCGCT